GGGCCCAGCGCCAGAAGCGCAAGGCCGCCGCGCCCGTGGTCGCAATCCCCAACCGCAGTGCAGCATTTGCTTCGACGTGCTCGACATGTCGCACGCCGCGCCCTGCGGACACATTTGTTGCGACCGCTGCTGGAAAAAGGTGCGTCGTTTCCTCGTCCGCACCGCCGAATCTCATTGCGGTGGTGCTAGTTGGAGGCGCAGGGAGCGATCGTCTGCCCCGTGTGCAAGGCGACGTGGCCCATCAAGTCGCTCGTGCGCGTCCAAGCCAAGACGAAAGTGAGCAAGCTCAACGCCCGCGCTCTGTAGCTACCGCTTCCATCGCCACTCGGTCCCATGGAATTATCTACGTACGATAATCGGTGATGACCACGACCAGTGTGCATGGAGAAGACCCTGACGACTACAAGCGCCTACAAGAAAACAAACTGGGTTGCTACTTTTGTGTGTCTACGGCTATGAACGACTCTGCACACAAGTCGGAGCAACGACGGCCCCGCTTCGATCCTGTCGGAGCGCGTTCGTTTTGTGGATTTGCTCCAGGTGGTGGGTGACATGGTTGTGTGTGTGCAAAATGCCAACCCGTGGTGGGGCGAGGGGTTAATAATTACGAAAGCATTTACGAGAGGCGGCGTGCGGTCGGGTCTGGAATCAGCCGCTTGGCCGCGACGACCCAGTCCATGAGCTCCGTCTGGGACGTGCACTGGAAGATGTGGCGGCGCGTCGACTCGGTCTTGAAGACGCTAAAGAGCCCCGAGGATGCCACCGCCTAGACGATTGGTTATAAGGTTATACGATCCTGTATCCGATTCGTACCTCGTTCACTTCAAAGGTCGGGACCGTCCCCTTGGCGATCGCGAGGCGCGAGTTGGGAAGATAGATGGACGCATACGTCACGCACGAGACGCCGTCGTCCGAGGTCGGGAGGGACGTGAGCACCGCGTCCGGTCGCTTGTCCTTGGTCCATTCAAAGAGGTGGAGGTACCCGTCCTGCGTGACCGCAGCAAACATGTCCTTCCACGACTTGAACATGGTCGCCGACACTTGGTACCGCAGAAAGCCGCCATAGACAAGCTACAAGAACCTTTGCAGTTGGGGAACATGCAAGCGATCAACCGCATACCAGTGGGCTCGCGAGCGGCGACCGAAACGACCCGAAAAACTTGTCTTCTTGCGCCTCGGCGAGCGCCATCGCCGTGTTCTAGCTCGCCATGGCTAAGTCGACACATTGAAAGATTGAAACACAAATGTACGTTGCGCGGAATGCGGCGAATCGTGAGCAGCAGATCCTTTTCCGCGTGCATTTTCTAAGAAATACGCGGATAAGAAAACCAAATTCGGATCGGAAACGGCGCGGGCGTACGAGCGTGCTGCCGAGGGGCTCGGTCATGGTGCCGCCGAGCTCTTCAAAGATCGTCTTTTGCTTGCGCAAGTACGTGTCCAACGCGGTTTGCGTCACCGCAACGCGGAGGACTTCAATCGTCTAGGCATGACCGTTGGCGGAATCGTATCAACATATCAAGCTGGACCTTGAACTGCTGGAAGAGGTTGGCCATGCCCGTCACGTACTCGACGCGCGCGGCTTGGAGCTTTTGAACGTTGACACCGTACGCCGCCTCGGCAAGCCAGAGGTCGTGCGCATGGCTGCTGCTCTCCTCTACAGACAAGAGGATCGTTTCAAGCTGGCAACAAAAACGTGTGCAATTCGTACGCTTGGCTTGGCGTGCGCGCTCCATGTCACGGTAGAGGTCGTCGTAGGCGGCAAACGACTCTTGGACGCGCTTCTGCGATGCGCGCAGCATCAAGTCGAGCGCGGTTCCTTCCGTCACCATGGTCGTCGCCGTCTCTTCGTACTGCGTCACCTACAGCCAAATTGCATGAGCCATCGGTATCGATCGAGGGAGAGCACCATTTCCTGGAGCGGTCGCGCGAGCACGTCGCGCTGGATGGCGTTCGTGAACGTCTCAATCTTGTCCGAGAGCTGCTGCTGGCTTTCGCCGAGGGCGTGAAGGGCGTTGTCGCACGACGACGCCATTTGGAGCTTGGGGCCACCAACGTCCGACGTCTCGAGCGCGAGCCGCAGCCGCCGGAGGCTCTCCGCATACGCCATGTCGGCTTGGATCTTGAGTGTGAAGAAGCGCACAAGGCGAGCGTTCGTGTCCCGCGCGGTCTGGAGCTCCGAGCAAAACACTTCCCAGTACTTGCGGTCCGCCATCTGCGCAGGGTCGATGTACGCCTTGCGCGACGCCTCAAAGCACCGGAGCGCGTCGCACGAAACGCTCTTGTTGCGCCACAGCATCGCATGGTTCAAGTTGGCGTCCGGCACCGTGCCTGCCTTGGTGAACGAGTTCGCGCGGCCGTCCGCCGCCGCGTGGCGAGGCGACGACGTCGTCATCACGTCGCCAGCGACGAGCGCTCCCGCAGGCGCCGACGGCTGGGACGTCGGTGGCGATGCGATCGTCAGCGCTGGCGGCGGCGACGCGGTCGATGGGGCTGGCAGCGTGCTCTCGGCGTCGCTCATCTCGTTGGACTGTCCCTTGCAACTGGCAGACCCTAAAAGCCCTTTTTTGATCCTCGGATTGTGATTGGTTGGAATACTAAAACCTCACGGCGCGTCCAAGTGCGCGCACTTGACACGCGATGTGGGACACGTCGAGGTCCCAATCCTTGAAGATCCGCACGACGGCGATGGCAGGGAACGCAGGCCAATCCAGCCGCTACGAGTAGCCACGAGCGGTGGCAAGCCCCAAGTCGAATGAAGCAAATCCACGCAAGTTCCATAGCACAGGGTCATCGTCAGCTCCAGCAATGCGCCGTTGCACACTGGATTGGCTCGGAGTTGGCACCGCCGTCACGCTCGGCTTGCGTTTTAACGACGTTGCGAAGGTCCTGGCAAAAGCTCCCGGCAAGCCATCGTGTCGCTACCACTGGACCTATTGCGATGAGGCCGAACGCATGTAACCAGTCTTTTGACACACCAACGACTGGAAAAGTCTTCTTTGCAAGAGCTCAATCAAGCCCGACAAATGACAGATAGACACGGATCGGCCTGGCTTCCTCGGCTTGCAGGCTCTGCTAGCAGCCGCAACGCGCCAAAGTTCTCTGCCAGCGCTGCTATCGATGCTCTTCCTCGCCGAACGCGGTGACTTTTGAAGAGGAGGCGGCTCTATAGTGGGCCGGCAAGGAGCCACGTGGTAGCATCGGATCCCAAACGACCAGTGCAACATGACGGTGCAACGGATTGTAGCCAATCCCAAGTGGCGATGCCTGTGCGCACTGGAGATGCGCGAACTTGTCGCGTTGCCACAAACAACCACAGGCAAAAAGAATGACTAGATCCGGGAAAACTCCGGGATGGAGAAACGCGAGATTGGCGACGAAGCGGTGTGGACGCTCTCGACGGCCAAGCCCGGCAATGGCGTCCATCAGCTGCGCGATGGTAGCTCAACGACGATGGACCGCGCTGGTAGAGACATGCTTGCGTAGACAACCTCGATACGTACTGGCAGTCGGACGGCGTCCAGCCGCATCTGATCAACATCCAATTCCACAAGAAGATGACCGTGCACGAGGTCGCCTTGTACCTCGACTACAAGCTCGACGAGAGCTACACACCCCGTAAGATTGCGATCCGCGCCGGCTCGACCTTCCACGACCTCGTCGACATCAAGACGCAGACCATCGTTGAGCCATCGGGCTGGACCGTCATCCCGCTCCAGCAGGCGCTGCTGGCCCTTGGCCAGCCGTCGCGCGAGGTATGCCCCATTCGCCATCATTGCGCCCGCGCTGTAGCTCTACCGTAGAAGCCGCTGCGCACCTTCTTTCTCCAGATTGCAGTGCTGGGCATGCACCAGAATGGCCGGGATACGCACATCCGCCAGGTCAAGATCTACGCGCCGCGCGTCGCTGCATCCATAGGCGCGCAGATCCCCGAGCCCTCGAGCGTCGCCTTCTCTTCATTTGCGTCCATCCGATAAGACCATACTAGTATATTAGGATATTGGTCGCTGCGTCCCGTCAACGTCTGGCGCCATCCCGTCATCGGGTGCACTTGGCGTCGTCGTGGTCACTTCAACTGCTCCGTTAAGTGCGTTTTCAAGACCAATTGCAATAATTTGACACCTTCAACTGGTCCGATTAAGTCCGGATCAGCGGAAGATCGCAAAACGGCACAACTGCTCTCGCCACCCGTCGCGACAATAAGAAATGCGCCGACAAGACTCGCGCGTGATGCTCTACCTCGGCGGCGTCGCCAGCGTTGCATGGTGCATGGTCTACATGGCCCAAGTCCACACGGCGATGCTGGCGCCGGCACCGCTTACAGGCGCGATGCACCTTGCCGCCGCGCCGACGGCCGACGACCGCGTCGAAGCCCTCTTGAAATCCATGGTACTACATGGACCCTGCCAACATGCAGGTACCATGTCGTTCGTGCTCTGTAGACACTGGCCCAAAAGGTGGGCCAAATGACGCAGATCGACATTGGCGACATTTTGTACGGCAAGAACCGCGAGCCCGCCCTCGCGATCAACCGCGCCAAGGTCGGTGTGTACGCCAAGCTCGGGATCGGGTCGTACTTTAACTCGCCGTTCGGCGCCAACAGCAGTCCGCACGGGCGCGTCGGGTGGTCGGCGTCCGAGTGGCGCGTCGTGCTCAAGACGATTGCGGACATCTACAAAGAGCACGGCGCGGTGCCGTTTATCTACGGCATCGACACGACGCACGGCGCCAACTATGTGCGCAACGCGACGCTCTTCCCACAGCCCCTCGCGCTCGCATCGACCTTCAACGTCGACCTTGCGTATGCGATGGGGCGCATCGAGGCCAAGGACAGCCTCGCGGCCGGCATTCCGTGGATCTTTAGTCCCGTGCTCGGAATTGCGATGCAGCCCAAGTGGTCCCGGGTACATTAAACGTCTCTTCTTTCGAATCACCGATCTCATCTACCGCATATCAGGTGTACGAAACCATGGGCGAGGACCCGCATCTCGTCTCGACCCTCGGCGTCGCCGTCATCCGTGGCATCCAGTCGTCCAACGCATCGGCGGTACTTGAACTACTCGCTCGAGAGGAATGTATGCAAGCGTGTGATGCGTAGGCGTGCATGAAGCATTTCATCGGCTACTCGAACCCGACGAGTGGCAACGACCGCGCCGACAGCATCATCACGGACTTTGACTTGGTCAACTACTACGCACCGCCGTTCCTTGCTGCTGTCCGCGACGCCAACGTCCTCAGCGCAATGGAGACGTACACGAGTGTGAATGGCGACCCGGTCGTCCAAAGCACCAAGCTGCTCCAAGATCTGCTGCGCCACGACATGGCCTTTGACGGGCTCCTTGTCTCGGACGACGACGAAATCCACCGGCTCGTGGCCGAGCACCACGTGGCAGCCACGGAGCTCGAGGCGCTGCAGATGGTCATGGACCACACGTCCTTGGACATGAACATGGTGAGCAAGAAGCACCGCGCGACGTCGCTCTTGCTCAAGCTCGTGAACGCGTCGACGATCCCGGAGGCGCGGCTCGATGCGTCCGTGCGCCGCATCCTCACGCTCAAGCAGCGCTTGGGGCTGCTCGATGCTGCACCTCTTCACGACCACTTGGTCGCGTCCGTCGGCAGCGACGAAGACCGCGCGTTTGCGGCGGCGGCGGCCGACGAGAGCGTCGTGCTCCTCTTGAACAAGCCCGTCGAGCCCGTCGACGCCGTCAATCCCAAGATGGTCCTACCGATCCAGAACCCGAGTGCCAACATCTTTGTCACGGGCCCGCTCGCCGATAATAAGGCGTACCTCTGCGGCGGCTGGACGGTCTACTGGCAGGGCACCGACGACTCAGACGCGATTCCATACGGCCGCACGATCAAAGAAGCTTTGGCCGCCCGCTTTGAGAATGTTGTGTATGCGGAAGGCGTCCCGGTCCAGGATGTGGACGTTGACGCGAGCGCCGGGCCGCCGGGCAGCGTCCTTGCGATGCGCGCGCCCGAGCCCGCCAACCACAGCGCCGCGCTCACGCTCGCCGCGGCCGCCGACTACACCATCGTCGTCGTCGGCGAGGCGCCGTACGCCGAAAAGGCGGGCGACCTCGACGACCTCACGCTGCCGTCCGGGCAGCTCGAGTACATCTCGGCGCTGAGCCGCGTCACGACCACAAACGTCATTGTCGTCGTCGTCACGGGCCGCCCGCGGCTCCTCGGGCACAGCCTCCGCCACGCGCACGGTGTGCTCGTGAGTTTCCTGCCGTGCGGCGGCGACGCCATCGCCAAGGTGATTGCCGGCGACGTCAACCCAAGCGGCCGCCTCCCGCTCACGTACCCGGCGACGACGGGCCATGCGCTGCCGTACTTTCACCGCGCGAATGTCGCGTGCACGGAGGGCTTTACCGAGTGCCCGGTGCAGTGGCCGTTTGGCGCGGGCTTGAGCTACACGACGTTCAAGTACGAGAACCTCACGCTCAGCGCGTGGCGCGTCGACAAGGCCACGGGCCGTCTCCGCGTCGACGTGACCGTCACCAACGTCGGCACGCGCACCGGCAAAGAAGTCGTGCTGCTCTTTCTATCGCAAAAGGTGCGCCGGTCTGCCGTCCCCGAGACGAAGCTCCTCAAGCGCTTCACCAAAATCGAGCTCGCGCCGTCGGCGTCGACGACGGTCAGCTTTGAGCTCGGCTTCGACGACTGGTCGTTTGCGCTGCCGCAGATCGGCAACGGCTTCAATAGAACGGCCGAAGCCGGGCTCTTCCACGTCATGATCAAGCACGACACCAAGTGCGGCGGTGCGAAGAAGAATCCGCTCTGCGCCCACTTCCACCTCGTCTAAGCGGTGGCGAAGGGTGGCGCGGACTGCATACTGCAGGCTAATGTCAATTGAAGAAGCGTGGGTGATGATTATGTGCAATGAAGAATGCGTTGGTCGTGCTGATGACCTGGTCGGTGGCCGCAGGCGGTGCGCATGGCGGTGCAAGGCCAATGGCTGGCTGCATGCTAGGCGACGCGAGAGGAGACACATGCGATGTGACTGTTCCTTTCACCAGTGGTGTCCATTGAAAGGGCTCTTTAAACAGGCGACGCAGAACGTCTTTCTATCAAAACTACAGGCGGCAAAACACACATTTAGTTGAACTTGCCGAGGATGTCTTCGTCACGGAACAAGTGGAACTCGTCTTCGCCGAGCTTGAGGAGGCTGCCGCCATACTCGGGGAGGAGCACCTTGTCGCCGACGGCCACGTTCATGGGGATGATCGTGCCCTCGTGGTTGCGGGCGCCGGGGCCGACGGCGACGACTTCGCCCTCGTTCTGCGTGTTCTTGGCCGAGTCGGGGAGGTAGATGCCACCGGCGGTCTTGAGCACGGGCTCGGCCTTCTTGATGAGGACACGGTTGCCAAGCGGCAGCAGCTTGCGGAGGCTCGACATGGTATGAGGTACGGGGTCCGAGGAAAATTCGATACTGACCACCGCAAACGTTTCCAACAGCTCCAAGTGTTTAAAACAATTTACTTGCAAGTCGAAGGCTCGAGAACGTTCCGAAGACGTGAAATAGTGTACGTTTGAACTTGAAGCTGGCGGCACGTGCAGTTGCGCCACGACGCACGTGCGTACTAACTCTTCAATAGTGTGATGGAAAGCGATAGGCGCTGGCATTTAGTGTGCGAACGCCTGGCTTGTCGCACGCAACTTGACGTTCTAGAATGTGGCGGGAAGCATCCTCGCCAGCACCCGACCAGATTGCACCCGATATCCGTCAACGGTAAGCGGCGGTGGTTAACGCTCGACCACCCGATCGCGGCTATTGCGCGTCTTCACAACGAGACCCAGCTTGTGACCAGCTCGGGCCATACGCTGCGTGTCAACGGGTTCTTGCCCAGAGTCAGGTGCAGTACGGTATCCGGCACTCCAGCGAAATCGCGGAATCGGGATTTGAGCTGGCAGAGACCCGACGCTCCATGACGAGTCGAGTGCAAGACGCGTCGCTGGCCGCCAAGGACGCCGAGCAGCAACGTCTTGTTCGCATTCTGCAGGCGCAAACCACCACGCGGACGCATGTCTGGACCTTGTGCATCGCTAGCCTCGGCACACTGCTGTCCCTATGCGCCGCCGGCTTTGCCTCCCAGCTCTACCCGCACCCAACGGCCGCGATCTTCTCGTCGACCGCCGTCACGATCCTACTCGAAACGAGTTTGACGCTTGCGACGGTCTACGCTCCCGCCACCATCGACACGCGTCCTATCATGGTCGCGACATTTCGGGTCGTCGTCCTCGTCGTGTGGCTGCGGACGAGCCAGGTAGCTTTGCACGCCGGGCTAGCGTCGTCTGCTGCAGCGCTTGTTGTTATGGGCCCTCTTGTATTTGGCATCGTCTGCGCACTCGCGGCGCGTCAGCTCGCTTGCTTTCGAAAAGACCTCTTGTCGTTGACGTCGCTGTGAGACGATCGCAGTGGTAGCAACAGTGGTGTAGTACATTATATTCAGAATCGTCATATCTAGTGGTTGGCTCCTTACTTCATCGGCGCCCAGTAGTCGATGATATCCAGAGCGACTTCGCAGCTCTCACGCACGACCTGGTGGTCGTCCTTGACGTACACCTTGAGGATCTCTTCGCACTCGGGCGTGCCAATGGCACCGAGCGCCTCGGCGGCTTCGTGGCGGACCATGCGGTGTTCGCTGGCGTCGATAAGCACCTTCTTGAGCGCCGGGACCGTCACGGGGTTGACCATCTGGCCCATGACGTAGGCGATCTCGTGGCGGAAGAGTGCGCTCTTGTCGTTGAAGGCCTCGCCGAGCGCCAGCGCCGCGTCTTCCGAGTTGCGGTTGCGCAGCGAAAACATGGCGCGGTACCGGTCAAACATCGAGCGCGACGTGTCGAGCAAGATGGCCTTGAGCTCGTCCGTCGTCTTGGTCTTCTCCATGGCCGGCGCCGGGTCGACCGAGAGGTACGGGTTGCGGTCAAGGACGCCTTCGTCCTCCACCGGCGTGTGCTTGTACTTGACGAGGCGAAGGGCCAGCTCGCACGTCTCTGCGACCTCGGGCGCTTCGTCATGGCTGAACTTTTCAAGGATCTCGATCGAGCTCGCGTCGCCGATCGCGCCAAGTGCCTCCGCGGCTTCGTGGCGGACCATGCAGTCGTCCGACGTGTCGGCGACGACCGACTCGAGCGTCGGGCACGCATCGGCGTCCTGGAACTGACCGATGACGTAGGCGAGCTCGTGGCGCATGAGCTCCGAGTCGGCCTTGTTGACCAAGGCTACAGGCGATCTTAGCGCAGAATCCTAGTGGCGTGGCAGAGCAAACCTTCGAGGAGGACCTTGAGGTCTTCCTTGCCGCCACGCGTGCGAAGGTAGAAGACGGCGCGCGTGCGCTTGCCCATGGGCTCGGAGAGGTCGAGGAGCGATGCGCGGAGCTGGTCGAAGGAAGGGCCGTCGGACATGGTCAAAAGAGAAGTTGCGCAGGCCACCGACGTCTTGACCACGTCACCGGATAACGATGGTCCTTGTACCTGCGTATCCGGAATGCTTGGCACCTCCCACCAACCAAAACGCTTCTTGCGTGCCATTGGGTATGATTATAGCCAATCACATGACTCAGGAGTTTCGCGCGACTTCCACACTCAGGATCGCGATTGGAGCCACGCGCCATTTTCGCCACTCATTCCGCATCATCTCATCGCGCTCTTCCAAGCGCCATCCACGCATATCCCAAGTGTGTACGTTGGGTGCACTTCCATAAGTCCTTGAAAAGTAAGACATGGACCTCTATTATGAAGAAGCCACTGCTCGTTGTTGGTCAACAGTGATCGCGCGAGGAAACCAATATAACTTCAAGCCGACAATTGACAATGCGTCAAAACGCGTGTATGTCGAAGAACATACCGGTATTTTGCCGGTGCCATTTCATTTGGTGCATAGTATTCGTAATCCTACCATGTATACCGAAGCTGACGGCTGAACGATCGCTAAGATCTGCACTCGTCGCCGTTGGCGCTTCTCTTGCCGTTGCGACGACCAGCATCATCTTCATCTCGAAGAGTTGGCGACCGACAAGCAGCCTTTCCACCGGTCGCCGATATACAACTCGCAAATGCGTCCGACGCACCAATCACAAGACAGGATTCAGATCCACGCGCTGTGATTGGCTCCTTTCGTATCTATTTTCAGCGTCATAACGGGCCAGGTGCAAAGCCACTGAAAACGCATTCGTGAATTGTCGTCCGGCCGCCGCGATGCAACAAGTACGGCGTCTGCCCCTACGATCTGAGTGCTGTATAGGATGGCGCCACCGAGATTGCCCTACTGGAGGAGTCGTTGCCGCTGACCGAGGTCGACTTTTACGACGCGATCAAGAAGGAGTTTGGGACCGACTGCAACGAAGAATTCTGCATTCGCCTCGCCCGCGCGTACCGGGGCGAGAAGAAGAACCGCATGGGCAAGACCATCGGCGAGACCAGAAAAGTGCTGGTAGGCCATCGCTGCTCTTCCACAAGTCTTTTCTCACCACAACACGTAGGAGTGGCGCAAGCAAGTCAAGGCCGACGAGCTCCTCGAGACCAAGCTCGAACAAGCTGACGTGTTTGCGCAGTCGTGGCCGTCGATGATTTCCGGCGAAGACTACTACGGTCATATTATCAACTACGACCGCCTCAAGGACATTCAGCTCGACGCGTGCCTCTCGCATTTCAACCTCGAGCAAGTCTTGCTCCACCGCGCCAAGCACATGGAACGCCTTCGGGCCGAGTACGTCGTCCATATAGTGTACTCGCACAAAATCTTAGTCGCGAATGATGTAGAATGGCCGCGGTCTCCAAGCGGGCAGGACGCCGCATCTACCGCCACATTTGCATTTTCGATCTCTCGGGCATTGGCCTCAAGCACATGGCACCGAGCGTCATCAACTTTTTGAAGCCCATCTTCGACCTCGGACAAGTCTACTACCCCGAGTCGCTCTTCCGCATGTATCTCGTGAACGCACCGTTCGTGTTCTGGGGCACGTGGAAGATCATCTCCAACTTTATCGATCCCGAAACCAAGGAAAAGATCCAGATTTTCAAAAATGCCGACAGCTTCGTCGCCGACGCCAAGAAGCATGGCATTCCGATGAGCGCAATCCCAAAGGCGCTCGGCGGCGAGAGCGTCGGGCGTATGCTCGATGATAACTTTGTCGTGAGCAGCTGCGTCCCGGCGTCCGAATAAACGCTAGACCGTCGCTTGCTTGGAGTTAACGATCGAATATCATCCCCTTTATATATTGGACAACCACATACTAGTAGACTTTGATAGCTCTGACAACATCGCAAGTGCGCAAGTCATGCAAGCGCAACTTCAAGAAATCCTGCAACCCAATCTGACAGCAAGTCCACACACTCCACCTTGAGAGAGAGAACCAGTTCTTAATTTCGTTCTATTGCAGCATACATATAGCGGCGTCTTGAGTGGCATAATGCGACTCAAGACGCCGCTATGCAATGCGACTCGCATTGCACAGCTATTGAAATGAAGTCTACACGTAATCAAGCAAGGATACCACGAGCCACTTGTTCTTGCGTGTCGCGCTGCCGCTTGCAAACGAAAGCATACCTCACTGGATATAGTTCAATATCCTTTTGCAGTTGCAACGTTCACGAGCGCTCGCCAGTTGCTGCTATTTTAACCGTGATGGCTTCCCATGGTATAAATATACAAATGCAGCGACAGACCCATTCATAGGTATGTATAATAGTTCTAGCATGACACCAACCAAGGTGCTGTCGCGGCGCGGCAGAGTCGCTGACGTCCCGAAACTCCGCGACTACCGTCTGCGCCGCCACCATCTTGGCTGGTTCATCAGCATCGTCTCGATGCTCAACGTCTCGTCCATGGTACGTCTAGCGCGGCTCAAGATGGAATGATGCAATATCAACACACTAGCCACTGGCCGCGTATCTCTCCGAGCCACTGCCATGGCAGGGTACGCTGAGCGCGCCAGAGACATATTCCAACTATTCTGCTTTCAACGGGACATTTCTTGCACTGAATAAGCAACGCTACTCGAACGCGACGCTACCGATCAACGAAGTCTTCTTCGTCGACGCAGTCAACAACGTCGAAGTCACGCGAGCTCGTTTGCACAAGCAAGACGGACCGCTTCGCATGGACCGAGATGCTTGCTTCACACATGTGTTGCTGGGGCTACCGGGACTTATCTTCTACACGGAGGCGCACATGGATCTTATCTGCAACGTCGTTGGTCCATCGGTCAACGCCACCAGCACCTCTGTTTCATCCTTCGAAATGGCGCGTGCTACCATTCACGCTTGCGCTCCCTTGTCTTTGGCCGTTCGTGTCTCTGGCTCGTGCCCGGGGACGCCCTCTCGAATGATAGTGGTACCGGAAGTTATCGCGATGTCGTGACTCTCTATTTTGTACACGAGGCCGTGCGCGATCCGATCAAGGTCTGGCTCATGTTCATCTATCGCATTGGGACAACGCTCTTGGTCTGGTATCGGCTCTACGTACACTACTACATTCACTGCTGGCAGCTCGAATTGCTCGTGCACCGACGCGGCCATCGCGCAAACATGCCGCCGGGCGACTGGACATACGAACTCGTCCTTGGCAACCCACCAGTCATCGTACTCATGGATCCGTGGGTCGCGACACTTTACATGCTGGACATTTGGCTTAGCGCGATTGGCTTTGGCACGGCGATCATTGTCGTAGCGGAAAGCAGCGACCTTCTTCTGACGCTTCTCAGCATTTTGTACCTCTCTCGCTCGGTTAGTACTTGACAAGGTTCCTCGTCATATCTGATAGACGGATATGCCGTGTAGGTCTGGTTTGCGTACTGGGGCCTCTGCCTCGCCTCGTATGTGCTCAAGCGCTGGCACAAAGAGCATTGTTTTGCTCAAGTCGACCCAACGCTCGTTGCGATCGCAGTGACCATCAGCGGTCCTCTCGCCGCATACATGTCTGGCCACAGTACGCTGTTTGTTCGCTTGGACCAATGGTTGTTCTACTGCTCCGTGCCGACCGACGTTCGCAACCAAGAGCTCGAAGTGATCCTTGTGTGCGTTTGCTTTACTTGCTTTACGATCAGCTTGCCATTGCTTTATGGAGTGGTCGCACGTACGTCACAGGAACGCTTCTTCTTTGTGTTGTAGAGCATGCCATCTAGGACTCGTGGGTCGCAAGCCCAGTGTCGAGTACAGCTCGTGTGCGTACAACAACGTCAAAAACGCAGTGCTGTTCCGCCTCGCACAACGGATGCACGCCACACCGCAGCTCCCTGCGCGCGGTGGCACCTTGTACGAGGCGATGGAACTCTACCCGCATCTCAAGCGATACCCGACGATCAGTCAGCGCGGCGCCGACTGCTTCTTATTCTGCTACTGCGACGGACAGCTCGTTGAGAGGCTCCGCCTGAGCCTCGTTAGAAGCTTGGACACGACGGACAGCGCTATGATACCCCGCGCGACGGAGCCTTCGGCGTATGTCGTGTTTGATCTGCAACCGCCGTCACTGAGTAATGCCGTGGGTCCAATGCTGCAGACGGGATGCAGCTACGAGATGCGCGCGCCGCCCGAGCTGTCGGCGTGGTGCGTCTAAAGGCGAGCGATGAGGGCTTCCACCAGCAAATTTCATTTCATACAAGCATACATGAGAATGCTCTTCTTTGCTTGGCGAATCTACCCGATTGGCATTCGAGTTGGCGTTGGATGCAACTCGATGGAGATGAATGTATGGCACAAATGTCATCGCAACTGTCATTGGATCGTTCAAGAACGTCTCTTGACGCGAGAGTTTACCAAGAGCAAACACGCTGATGCGCCCCAAGACCCGTCAAGACCAAAAGAGCCAACCCACGCGATCGTCAGGTGTGCGCGCAAGGAAATAAACCTGTTTCTTCCCTACAGTGCGCACGACACGCACTTCATAACGGCAACAAGAAAGCTGACGCAAATACAAGTCGTGTTGAGGGTATTTCAAAGCCTTATGTATATCAACATGCTCCGCGTCATCTTCCTTACAAAGAGTTCACATACGTAGTGCTACACCTGAATGCGTGGGAGTTGGCACCAGCACTTGGTCGTTGGAAGTGAGCTGCGCACGGAGAGACCCATCCCGTGGTGGACCCCACTCGCCGAGTTTCATAGCCTTGGTCGTCTAATTGCAGCGAGATACTGTGATTCTGGGGCGTTGAAACTGGTTTTAGAATAATGCTTGACAGGCCGATCTACATGTAGTACCGCTCATTGATTGGTGGAGTCAATTTGTATCAGCCAATCGTACGTCGTTTAGCGTTTAGATCGTTGAGCCACTTGGCAATCTTTGGTCCGTGGTCATGGGCAATCTCTCGAGTCTCTGGAGCGCGCCAGCCGCGCCGACCTGCTACGCACTCTTGCCGCCAAACGTCTTTGACACGGAGCACTACGTCTACGCCGAGTGCCAGCGCATCAACCTCGCCTGGCACGTCCGACCGATGCTGTCGGGCCGCACGATCGCGTCGCGTCGAGCCCAACCCGACGATCTCGTCGCTCTCAAACTCAACGTCTCGGACGCCATTAGGATGCAGGAGCGCATCGTCTCCAAGGCCGAAGCGCTATCGGGTCTTGAGACCTACCGCTTGTCGTATGTTTGCTTTGCGCTGGCGGGGGCGTGGACGTACGGCGTCGTCTTCCAGTGCCGGTCGACCGATACGTTTGGCGACCAGCTCGTCGTCACGACGCAGAAACCACGAAAGGTCTATGTCGCCTTGAACGACCCGACGTTGCTCGTGCTGACCCTCGCCGGCTACGCGTTGCGGCCATTTGACGGGTTGCCGCTGGCGTCGCACCCCGTAACGACAGTCGAGACGGGGACAGCGGCGATCGTTGGTCACTTCCTCTCCAACAAACGCCATGCAGCGCTCAACTACGGGGCTCTTGGGCTGTTGTGCTTGCCGCGGTTGCCGCCACCGAGCCATACACGTCTTCCATGCATCCTCCACGATGGGACGCAGTGCGAGTTGTACGTCGCCCATATCCTCGACGTTGCACATGCGACGTTTCGATGGCAGGAAGAAGAAGACACGAGAGCACTGCGAGGGTCTGTCACTGGTATGCACCCGCGCGAGCCAGACGACGCGACAGAACAAGGTACACCCTCACTCTGCAGAGGCATTGCTGACGTGTTTATCTTGTTTCTAGATCGTCCGCCAAAGCTGCAAAAGCGGCGAGATTCGATCGAGTTTAGAGATTGTGGCACGCTTACGACAGCCGACGTGCCCGACCTCAAGAGCGTTTCTGTCGGCGCGCGGCTGTCGACGACCACGCTCCGCAAGCTCTTTGAGAACTATGGCGGCTGTCCAC